AGGGTCAGATCCCATGTACCTCAAGCATTAGTGAACGGGCTGGGGCCTTTGACTACAGAGGCAAACGTGGTACAGCCTTCTCACAGCTCTGATGGGAGAGAGAGACTGGGGACCTCTCCAGCTCCCCGAGGCCAATTCTTGGAGAATGGCCTTGGAACTAGAGGTGGACCACAGCAAGTGGCTCCTCAAGTGACTGCGAATACGTTATCCCAACATTCAAGGGCTTCACCTGCTCGGGGGACCTCGCTAGCAGATCTTGCAGCGGTGATCAATACGAGTAGGGTCAGTGAAATCGTACGGATCAGAGCAGATCCCAGCCGCTGGGGACGGTACAAAGCAGACATGGCTATCGAATTGAGCATGAAGACACTGACTTGTCGTGCAGATGCGAGAAGAATGCTCAACGGTGTTGATCCTACGGTATCTGGTCGGGACCGGATAGCAGGCGTGGATTGGCTCTTAGCTGAAGAAAAGCAATTCAGTTCAGCTACCACCCTGCAATTGGTGGAGCTGGAGGGTCTGCCCGGAGATAACACTATAGGACCAATGAACACGAGGTCATTGACGGACGTCCGTTATCAGGTCAGAGAAAGAGCTCCACCAAAAAGTAGAGGGAATTTTCTAGTGGAGAACAGACCCAACAACGGGCATCACAAAATGGGGAAGCAGTTCGCTAGACCCCCGGCGAGTATTCAAGAGACTACCCCAGAATCACACCAGTGGAAGGTGACGAAAGAAGCTACGCGCACCTGGAATCACCAAATGGAGACAGCCTGTTTGCAGCTTATGACCCTCAGGAAATGAAGCTGGGGAAAAGAAATGAAGCTGGGGCAAATTTTGATAGTGGCCAGCTCTGACTACCTGTACACGCCCCGCTCACTCTTTTGGCCGGAGGTGATTTTCCTCACAGCTCCCAACTTGGATTGGGGCCAAGTGGTGGGGATGGCAATAAGTGTGGAGAGGGTGGTAAACGTGGATCCAGAAATAGTGATAATAGCCGGATCGAATGACCACCTGCAAAGCAGGGGTCTCCTAAACGCTCTTGTCGACGGATCAGTCCCAAGCTCGGAAGCTGTGGGAGAAGCGATCATGACGCTGCTCTCAGCCATGCTGGAAGCTGAGAGATCGGTACGACAGAGTTTTGCAACGCAAATAGTGAAGATAATCTTTGTGCTGTCTCCATGCTACGCCCTATTGCCCGAACCCCTGCAATGTGTGTATGCTATGGTCGTTATGCTAGCAGAGGCACGATTTGATGTGATGATACCGGCAACGAATCGACAGGTGGATCCCAGTTTTTACTACCCCTACCAATCAGAACGCCGGTTATTAAAAATGAGGCCAGGAGTGGTTGACGAACATCAGCTGGTGCAGCAATTGGCGAACAATCTGTGGTTCAGACAAACGGACTACGTGAGGAATGAAAGAGGAGATTTGGTCAGGAGGAACGCCCGCTCAATAGAGGAAGACATTGAGGCTATGGCTTTGAGGATCAAACCTCATACTAATTGCTGGCTATACCTGTGTCCTCGGTTGTGCGCGTTGGGACAGGATGCCTTCGATCATGCACCGGCAGCATTGAGAGAGATCCATTAAGACTTACGAAGAATATGAGATGTGAGGGAGCAGGTAGAGGTGACGATGTTGGGATTTATGCAACAGGTCGACACGATGTCCTTGCACCGGTTCCAAGTGGATGTGCTGGCCACAAGGGCCGAGTACGAGAGGACGGATGCGATTCTCGCAGGAATGGGCGTAGGATGATCAGCTGGATTTATCAGCAGCTGCTGGCCACAAGGGCCGAGTACGAGAGGACGGATGCGATTCTCGCAGGAATGGGCGTAGGATGATCAGCTGGATTTATCAGCAGCTGCTACCCTAGGGTATCGAGGAATCTGATAGCCAGCTTCGTGAGGGATATCAGGAAACTGTCCATTGGCATTGTGCTGGCCTTACACGTAGCCTTCGGACACGAAAGCTTTGTCAAAGGACCCCTGGTGCTTTTTACACGGGAATTCGCCGATCTCTGACTGGACGGTCTGCTGACACTGATTGCGATGACCTATGGTCGCCTGGGTGACCTGTTCTTGCTGCTAAAATAACCCGAGCAGCTGCAGGGACCAAAGAGGGAGTTCGATGCTCAGATGGAGACAGCATCTTATCGAAAACTAAAGAACTAGAGGACTTTGCTCCTTCAGTACTTATTACAGCAGAACAGAAGTTTGACCGGAGAGGATAAGCCAGTCTCCAGTAAGAGTGAAGTAAAGAGGCGTGGGGGAATGTCCCTGTTTGCCCACTTGGCACTAATGATGCGGATCGATCCACTCGATCTGATCTTCGGATTGAGAGAATTTGTGACTGCGGTGTATGGGCCTACAGTGTTGCACGTGTTCCCAGACATACGAGTGGAGGCGTACAGACACTCAGGTCTGTATGTTAAGCTTGTGTCAGTGGTGGACTGTTCTGTGCTAAACTGGGTAGAACAGAGGGAGCTGAGAAGACTGGCGAGTGACGACCGAATATTCGGGAAGATATCAGAACCTGGCTGGGTGTTAATGGACCTGAAAAACAGCTTCAGATGTCGGATGGGAGGCGAGGACCTTGCCAATGTACAGCTCAACCCCAAGCTTTGGAACCTGCGACCTATCATCAAAGGGACGACAGACGCAGTGAAGATCCCGGCCTGGTCGGAGACATACGCTCACGTGAAGGAGAACTAGGACGCATGGCTGGCGGGTTCAAATCCGCTGCTAAATAGATGCCCACTGTATCCACGCATCAGCAGGATTTTGTTGGGAGTAAACAGTCCAGCTCTGGCACCCAGGATCGGAGCTGCACAAGATGTAGAAGAGAAGATGATCAAGTGGAGCGAGGGGATGGAGCCGCGCTTCATCAGCTGGAATGCTGCAGCTTTGCACAGCTTCGACTCCATCTTTCCGGACTTGTGGAGCAGGAAGAAGATCAAAGCCATCGATCAAGGAAGCCAGAGGTCTCTGTAGGCCACTGGAATGACATGTACGCTCCAGCTGACGACAAGTCTAGGCTGAAGTGGCCCAGAAGGGAGACAGTAGCAATGATAGAGGTGAGCAAGGAGACTAGAGAAGGCATCTATCTGACAATAGAGGAAGTGGCGCCGCATGGTGAGGAGCCTGTGGAAATTTTTATCAATGAGCAAATGTTTTATCATGCGGGTGACCTGTTGATACCGGCTTGGCCGGATGCAGGAGTCGACATGCGCCAAGGCCCCTCTGGACCGAGACCAAGACCAGATAATGGAGGAGACGCGAATAAAAAAATCACGGTGAAGATGACCCCATGGAAGGGAAGAGCGACAGAATGAGCGAGTTTGACTTGGGTGCCCTGGAAAGGGATTTGCTGGAGTATGATTTCAATGAATCGGAAGGCAGTGGAGTGAAGGAACCGCTAGTGCTGATGACACCGTCATCATTTATGTCTCCCACTAAGGAGCCCCCAGCTAGTCTGTCACCCGTGGAGTCCATGTCCCTGGTTGAAGCACACCAGAGGAGGGGCGAATCCAAGCTGCTCAGTGAATCCCGGCGAAGGCGTAGGATCGATGAGTCGATGCGAGTAGCGTTCCTGGGCACGTTGCCAGAAGAAGAATGGGAACGGTACCGAGCGAGCTGGAGAGAAAGACCGGCGAGGTTTGGACTCGCGTAGCATTCATGGAAAGTACGTGGAGTATAATCCGGAGATACGGCACCCAATCCGTGAAGAGAGTGGGGTTGAACCAGCCCATCATGCGAGAGGCGACAGAGAAAAAGATGGAGTCCACTCAACCTGACGGTCTGACCGAGTCAGTCAGGGAAGAAAGTGCTGAAGAAAGTCTGATTATGCGAATTCGACCCGTCAGAAGAGCCAGGAAAGGACTGAGGAAGTACAAGTCAATGGTGAGAAAGTTGAAGGAGAGTGAACGACAAAGTGACCAACACAAAGGTTGTGAAGTCAAAGGCCACAACGGTGGTGATGTCGCTGGCGAACGTGTCCCTCCCTAACGAAGCTGGGCAAGGGGACAGTGTCGCGCAAGGTGGCAGGGAAAAGGAGAACCAAGTGCCACCGATGTTGCTGGCGGGATTAATCTCAACGGCTTCAAAGGTTAAGAGAAACGAGAGGAGCCTGGTTGACACCAGACTGGAACTGGAGTTTATTAGCCAGTGTGGGTCCGGTGGATTGGACGACTACAAACCGTCATGTACCAACATGGCAAAGATGAAATTGGAAGGGCAGCTCGACGTGGTCGAGTATAGTCGTTTTACAGTGCCCGAATCAGTTCACATGGGCGATCCTGCTGGTGGCTACCGGGAAATGGTGAAAGCGAGAAACTCCGCGAGAAGGCACCTGATGGCCTGGCATGACAAGCAAGCCATGCAGGAGTATCTGGAGGAATTGATGACAGGCTCGAACCTGAAGACGAAGGAATATGGCACAGTGATGTCGTCGGAAGCGAATGAGATTGGTTTAGAGCTTTTGAGTAAAATTTCCTGTAAGGCGGCCCTGCGGAAGTATTTCGACGAAACCATGCGTACTCCATCATCTGTGATGGCGTACTTAGCCAACCCCTGTGTTAGGACAATTTGGAAAGTGATGCATGTGTGG